CTTTTCTGGGATTATTACTGTCATTTTGTGTTTATGACCGGTTTTTACCGAAGTTTAAATTAATTGTTATTTTCAAATTTAGTGTGTTACACGATCTTTCTCACCCGTCGCCATCGTTGACCATCACGAACAAAAACATATGTGACATCAACAATAAGATGAAGATCCGAGAAGATGAAGCTGTGAAATCAACCAAGTCCGTTAAGATAAGATAAAACAAATTTTCTAGCTTCTTTTCTCGATCATCTTTGAGGGATTTGGTTCATTTTGTTGTTAGTAATTTAGGATTTATGAATCGTTATTATGAATTGCTTTGTAACGCATATGAAACATTATTCTTTTTTTAATGCATATAAATCGTTAATCGTTTGATTTGATTTGATTTAATGTTGCTTTTTTTAAACACATATGAAACATTATTATGACTCATTTTTAAAAAAACTTAAAATGTTGTTTCACTGGTATAAAACTAAGGAAACAAAACTGTTATTGTTCCATATGAGAACCAATAATGGGTTTGGTTACATACAATAACAAAATGATTATATATCAAAGGAATATTGTATTGTTTCATTAGTGAAATAATACTGGAATGAAACTACGGTAAAAAAAATTATTATTTCGAATGAAAACCAATAATTGGTTTGGTTTCATATGAGAAACAAAACGTTCATAAATGATTAGAGAGAGAGGAAATCAGTTATGACAACCGAATGAGATTTTTTAAGGAGAAAATTATCCTTAATATAAATCCGTTAAATATGGTATTCTATGAGGTGTTTAGGGAAGGTAATCATCTCTAAAATATGAATCAACTAAAAAGACACAAATACCCTTTTTTGTACGGTTTGTAACATTTAGACAATTTGTAAAAGAAGGAATATATATATATATATATATATATATATAGAGAGAGAGAGAGGGGGGGGGGGGGGGGGGGGGGGAGGTGAGGTTCATAAAAGAATGATACTTATTTAAGAAAACCAAGAGAATGGCTAAAGATGTGATTTTACACTAACCTAGCGTATAAAATCACATGTAATTCACAAGACCTTGTCATAGGGTCGTCCGCGCACTTTTTTTGGCCGTTAATTTAAATCACATGTGATTTTATATGTAATTTAACAAATTTCTTGTTTTGTTAAATATGTATCATTCTTGTATGAATCTACTTCTCTCTCTCTCTCTCTCTCTCTCTCTATATATATATATATATATATACACACACACACACACACACAGAGGAGCGATCAAATGAAAACTACCCTCATTTGTACAAACCGTACAAACCACCCTCATACGTCGATTTCATTGTTTAATCTTATGAAATTTTTTCATAAAATTGTTTAATCTTGTGAAATTGTTTCATATAATACTTTTTCTGATGAATTTGTTTCATATATAGTTATGAAATTGTTTCATATAATATTTAATAAAATTTTAATGAAACTGTTTCATGTATTTTTCTAAAATTAAAATAATGAAGATSATAATATCCATGATTAACACCCTCCACAATAAAAATTGTTAATCAACCTCTCATAATTACAAAAAAATGAACAAAATGAAAAATTATGATTGGTTGATTGAGGTTTGCACGGTTTGTACAAATTGAGTGGTTTTTATTTGAACGTTCCTCCACACACACATACATATATACTATAACATAAAACATTTGATAAAAACTCTTAAAAACCATTCTTATGCATGAAATATTGTTTATTGATTCATATTATTTAAAATTTAATATTACAAGTAAATTGTGCGTAAATACAATTTATTAAAGTTCTATTTTTAATTCCTGTAACTAACCATAATCAAATACAAGATAAACATCTCATTTTAAATATAAAATATATAAAATATAATTAGGATAATTATTGAATTTAACAGAATACTTAATTATTATCTTTATAAAAGTTTATATTATTAAACCAAAAATAAATTACTTTGTTATTAAACTTAAATTAAATTATAATAAAAATTAAATAAAAGAAATTACACAAAAATCAAGAACTTTGAAATAGTTAATTTGATGTTAATATCAATAAATATATATATATATATATATATATATTTTTTCAAATTTTTATAATACTTTCAGATTTATATTTTATTCAAAAATAAAAACATCATTGTTTTCTCAAAACCACATAAAAGCGTATTATATCGACAAAAAGAAAAAATAAAAACATTATCGTTGTATACATAAGGACAACGATGTTATCTAATCACAAAGTAATTTTAATCCAGGTAAGCATGAATGAAAGAAATGGTAATTAAAGTGTCAAATAAAGAAGAAAAAAAACCATTGTTTTTAATATAATTTGTTTAGTTTTAGAGGGTGTTTGGGATTGTTTATAAAAACAACTTATTGACTTATTTCGGTGTAACAACGATAATAAACACTTTTGAGTGTTTGGATAAACAATTTATACCGTTGCCAAACCGGTAATAAGGAGTTTTTGAAAAAGTTAAACCCTTCGGATTTATAATAAGTTGACAAGTGCTTTTATAAAAAAGTATAAGTTATTTCAAATAAGCAATGTCAAACATCTTATTAGTGTTTATCAATTTTTAAATACTTTACTTTTAATAAAAAAAGGGATAACTGGTTTTTAGTTTGAAAGTAAAAAAAGAAAGTTATAGGAAAAATGAAATATAACAATAGTAAAATAGAAAGAATGAGTCTATAATTATCATTAATCGTAAATTATTTAGATATGGACAAATTAAAAAAAAAAAACATTAACTATAATATTCGAAAAAATATTCTATCATCACACACACATAATTTTTCAACAATTAAAAAAATTTAAATTACAGTGTTTGTTTAAATTATAATCATGTCTAGGAAACTAATAAAATGAGAATTTAAAAAAAATTAAATTATAAAAACAGTTTTTATGTATTATTTTATATTATTAAATTACAGTCTTGTTTGCTTCACGTTGCAAACACTGTACATTCATATTGTTTCACAACATAAGTAGGGTGTAAATAGTATGAGACAATTCGCAAGTTATTCGAGATCGGTCAAGACTTGATCAACACTTGAATCGAATAGGCTCCACTTGAACTCGAGCTCGACTCGACATATTAACGAGTCAAGTCAAGCTACCCAATACTTGACTCGAAAAGCTCGTAAGATACTCGATTATTTTATATATAATTAGTTTTAAAATATAATCAGTTTTTATGATAAAATATGTAAAATATAAATAATAAAAATGTCTTATATTTTAGATATTTAAACAAAACTGTGCAATTTTTAATTAGAAAAAATCAATTATTTTTTTATAAAAATCACAATTAAAAAAAGATAAAGAAAAACTATAAAAATAGTTAGTGAATTTGTCCCACATTGGAAGAGAGATGGTAAAGGAAGGAGAAAAGATGTTATAAAAAGAAGTCGAGGTGAATGAAATTTTTAATTTTGCCTTTTTGATGATAAAGTTTGAAGTTGGACCGTTTAGTTTTATAAAAACTAAGAGATCACCTTTAAGTTTTAAAATTTATAAGAGAAAGACCCTACAATTTCATAAATTTCAATGGGTGAGCTTGATTTGAGTTTGAGTTCGAATTTGAGTTCAAGCCTGAATTGAGTTGCAGTTTAAGCTTGATTTGAGCTTAGTTCAAGCTTGATTCGCATTCGAGCTTGAGAAAATAGTTATCGAGTTCGAGTCGAGCTTTGATTTTTACTACTCGCTAGTTTTCGAGTTGAGTTCGAGCTTGGAAATTGAGTTTCGAGTTCAAGTCGAGTATAATGATACTCGAGCTTGACTCTCATCATTTACACCTCTAAAACATGATCAGTGTTTATCAGGATTCTCAACATTTTTTGGCTCTCATCTAATTATGGCTATAGTCTAAAGACGCATCTCATCTTACGGGTGTTTATCAAAAGCTTACTAGGTAAACAGTTACTCGGTTGGTGTCTTTTAGTTTACTATGTGAATATGACAAATATTAAGAATCTTATCTAGTAAGTGAACATGACAAGGACCAAGAAGATTCTTACCCGGTAGGCAATGTTTTTCAAAAAGTATGAGTTTTCTTAATTAATAACAAATAATCTACTTTATTATGACACACATAGATTTCATGCGGATGAACTAACCAAAAGAGTCGGTGTGATATGAAAGATGAATAATATATTAAGGTTTTCTAGACAAGTAGTTTTAAACTTGTTATTAAATAAAAACTTAGAGAAACGATAAATAGTGCTATAAAATAAACGACCACTTAACTTTTTACATTTTTTTTCCTTCAATTTAATTAATATATACATATGTGGACCCTTAATATAACATTAAATTCTATTTCAATCCAAATTATATACTAAAAAAGTTTGTCTATTTTATTTACTTTTGTTTTAAACTACTACTATATACTAAAATATTTTGGACTCCTGTTTCTTGTGGGTCATGGGTGTGTGCCTTCCTAGAGGGACTTGTTTACCGGTTAAAAAACACTTATTGATAATCCATTTTAATGGTCTAAATGTTAACTGATAAGGTAAGTAATTACAACGACTACTGCTAATAAGTGTTTAACCGACAAGAGTCCGATAAATGATTAGATAATATGCATTCTTAGGGGTGTTTGGGATTGCTTATTTGAAACAATTTATTTTTGTCTACAAAAACACTTATCAACTTATCATAAGTCAAAAGAGTTTAACTTCTTCAAAAACTCTTTATTACCAGCTTGACACCGGTATAAGTTGTTTATCCAAACACTCAAAAATGCTTATTACTAATGTCATACCGAAATAAATCAATAAATTGTTTTTATAAGCAATCTCAAACACCCTCTTAGATTTTGGTATTTGACCTATGTTTTGGTTTGAATTTATTTCTATATACAATGAATTTCATGAAATATGTTGAAATTTTGGTAAAATTAAGATTAGTGATTGAAAGCATGGTTTTGTCGTTGTAAATTGAAAGCTTCAAAGAAGGAGATGGTAGACGACAAATAGGTATATGTTGGAAAGGGGGGGAATGGGTCCAAGTCTTGATCCGGTCAAAATTTAGCTCTCAACAGCTGTAGTTAGCCTCTTTCATCTTCATCCTCCAGCTTCTTCCCCCACGTACCTAAATACAATTTCACTTTCCAGTTTCCAATCAACAGCTGCACTCTCTTCATAGATCTACTTGCATCCACGGACCTGGTGATTCTCTATCTCTATCTCTTAAAACTGGTTTGATTTCGTTCAAATTCATGTTAATGGCTAGTCTGGATTGATGTGAATTCTACTTGTCATACATGAACTTGTGATCCTTTTCTGCGTTTACTAATTTATTTAGGGTTTTGACCTATTATGGTGTTAAGGATAGTTACGGATCTGCCGTTTCAAGAAAAAAAAAGATATAGTTGAAGATCTGTTTGCATCAAATTTGGTGGGGCACCACTGATCTAGGTTTTTGATTTGCTCAGTTTTTAGTTTTGCGCGAGTGATTGTGTTCTATTTGTATGCAAAAATGGGTTCGATTCGTAATACAGTGTACTATTGTTGTGTATGGAATGGGGGAAAGGTTTTGTATGCATATAATGGTGGAGGAGATTGTGAGATTGAAAACTTGGCTGCTTTATGCCTGGAAAAAGCCCCTTCTCATCACAAATGGTACTTTCAGACCATGTTCAAGAAAACTTTTGGGTTTCTAATGGAAGATGGGTATATCTATTTTGCTATTATAGATGAGAATCTTGGTAACCCTGGGAACCTTCAGTTTCTAGAACATGTCAGAGATGAGTTCAAGAAAGTTGCTAAAAAGGGGTCGAATCGAAGCATGTCGAATCTCAACTCACTCGTTTTGCAAGAACAATTAGTGCCTGTAATTCGGCGTTTGATCACCTCTTTGGAACAGGTCACTGGTACCACTTGCAATGAGACCATATCCTCACCTTATAATGATAATAATGGTCAACTTGATATGGGTGCTTCAACAAAAGCCCCTTTATTGGGGAAATCTAGCAAACAAGAGAAGAGAAAGATGAGAGATCATGTGATTTCGGTAAGAGAAAACGGTGTAGTAGAAGAACACAGGAAGTCTGCAGATAAAGGAGGCACGAAGGTGGATTCTTTGAGTTTGGATTCGAGTAATCAAGGCGGATCTGTGGCGGGTATCTCGTTGACAAAAGAAGTAAGTTCAATGAATAGATCGAGTACTCAAACCGTAAGAAACAAGTGGTGTCGCCAAGTTCGTATTGTTCTTGCAATTGATGTTGCTGTTTGTTTGATACTATTTATAGTTTGGATAGTGGTGTGTCATGGTACTGAGTGTATCCGTTAAAGATTCATTCATTAGTGAATGGAATGGAAACACTTGTCTTTGTTCTTTGAATTTCGTTGCGATAGTATATGGAAGCTGCACGTGATTCCAGATTCGAGATTCTAATGTTGCAAGGTATTGGCTCTTGATTATTGTTCATACAGCTTTATGGTTTAAACATTTTTGTACATTTCTTAAAAATCTATTTGTACATCATTGTGTTGTTCTGAAATCTATAAGCTACTAGCTACCGGATGGATGTTTTTTGATCGACCCTTAAACTCAGTTGCTTTATTATTCTATGGAACACCATATATGGCATTCTTCGATCTTGTCTGCTTTAACTTTTCCTATAACTGTTATACATTCATCATTTTGAATTTATGATGAATTATTTTCAACTTAGGATGCATTGTGTAGGTGGTGGAGTCAATTCAGTTTGTAGTTTTGCTATCTTTGATCCAAGATTTTGGATCTAAGGAACCAACTTCAGGATTTTGCTTGTGTGGCTTCAACAAAAATTCCAACTTAGGTAGACTTTCTAACACAATAATAGTGGCTGGAGCTCTTCTTAGAGGCCAGCAAATCATCATGGCCATATGTATGCATTATGCTAGTGTGGACTGTGATTTGAAGTCCATATGGCTTTAGCTTAGCAAGTAAGGTGATGGACATCCTTTTATGAAATTTGACACTAGTTTCCACCCCCACCTATCCTGGGACACGCGATTTATCTCCCCTATGATGGACATGAGACCAATACGGTGAGAGAGCTCTAGAGGGTGGTCGTGTGAATGTGATTCTAAATTTCCGGTTGAAAGGGTGGTCAATTTAATTCTGGTTAGATGATATATCGTATCATGAGGAAGGTGCTCAATTTATTTTGATCCTAGATTTTGGATCTAAGGAACCAATTCCAGGATTTGCTTGTGTGGCTTCACCCAAAAAAGTCCAACTTAGGTAGGCTTTCTAACGCAATAATAGTGGCTGGACCTCTTAGAGGCCTACAAATCATCATGGCCATATGTATGCATTATGCTAGTGTGGATTGTGATTTAAAGTCCGCATGGCTTTCACCTATCAGGTAAGAAGGTGGATATTTTTATAGGAAATGAGAAGGGTATGAAATTCAACTCGAGTTACCACCCACCTACCTTGGGACACACGATTTACCTCCCTTATGATGGACCAGACGTGAGACCAGTACGGTGAGAGAGCTCCAGTGGGTGGCCAGTCTGAATGTGATTCTAAATTTCCTGTTGCAATAAATCGATTTAATTCTGGTTAGATGATCTATCATGAGGAAGGTGCTCAATTTATTTTCAGCATCATGAGTCTTCTTTGGATCGTTGTTATGCTAGCTATGTCTATAGACAGGAACATATGGCCCACATGAAAGATTGTTTAGATGGATTCATTGGGGTATTGGAAAAGCCGCTCTACTCTTTGGGATAGAGGTCAAGTTTACTAACATAATATCCTTAGACCTACTTTCAGGTGAGATACTGGCCTCGTTTGGTTTGTTTCATCAAGACACCAAAACTAGAGAGCCATGTGTTCTTGGTTTCTTATGGGCCGTTTACCAAACGCTTATTCGGGTAAGTGAATACAAAGTCACATTACTTTATCGGATGAACATGGTAAGAACCAAGAATCTTACGCGGTAAAAGCGAGACAAGGACCAAGGGTCTTTCCTGGTAAGTGAGGGCGATAACTCTTACCACGATAAGTGCTTACCGAGTAAATTGTTGCATATGATACCGTTTTGGTGGACTAAAATCTTACCCAGTAAGTAATGATAGTGTTACATTTTACCGGTAAGCGTTTACTAGGTAAGTATTTGGTAAACGGCCCCTTAGTCAAGTTTAGGAAGGTTTACCAATAGGATGTTACCCCATTTGTCTCAAAATAAGTGTCCACAATTCTATTTTAGTTTGTTTTAAAATAATTGTCCACTTTCAAAAGTAAGTCTTTACTTTCAAATTCTTCCCTTAATTATAATAAGAAGAAAATTTTCTTACTCTATTATCAAGTGTATAATCGTCATTTAGTTAATTAAAAAATGTAGTAATTATCTAGTTCTAAAACTGCATGTCTTTTTCATTTTGAGACCGTGAAAATATTAATTATAGAAATTGTAAAGTATCTTTTGATATGATATTTAGAATGTAATATGCTAAATGACTCGATCTCTATCCAGACTTTGCTTTGGTTGGGGGTGTTATTTTGGCGGTTAAATCTAATTTGAGTTACTTTGTTTCAACTTTTTCCAAACTACCCGATAACCAAACCAAACAGTTTTCGGGTTATTCGGTTCGATAACGGGTTAAAGATCATGTTTTTTTCGTTGGACACTTTGTATCATATATTTATACCCAACAATTGATTAATATAAAACAAAAAACATTATCTGAGAAAAACATAATCTATTCAGGCTATTGGACATAATAAAAAAACTTTATCAAATAGAAAAACTATGATCTAACATCAAACAAAAAAACCATTATCTAGCAATAAAATCTATAAGACAATATAATATAATATGTTATTCGATTTATTTGTCTAAAAATAAAAATTAAATATAAATAGTGGTGTTATTTAAAGTTATTCGGTTCAATCAAATTACTAAAAAATTAACTGAAAACCAAATCGAAAAAGGTATCCTTATTCGATTTAACAAACCATTTAACTTGAAACCAATTGGGCACACTTCTTTTGTGTGGTATCAATTTTTTTCTAGAAACATTTTGAGTATAATGTCAAAATAATTATTTCTAGAGTAAATTATAGGTTTGGTTTCAATGGTATGGGAATTTTTACATAATTGGTCACTGAATTTAATTTATTATGTAGATAACATGTAGGAATGCGCTTTTTCACAGATTTAGTCCTTGAACCAAATGAATGTCAACATCCTCCGTTAAATGGTAGGGTATTTCCATCTATTTGGTATTTTCTTCAATTTGGACTAAAAATTTTAGTTTTTATTTTTATTTTTTTGTCTTTATTTTGTCAGTTTTCCTTGTCTTTGTATCTCTTATATCTTTTATAATCTCATGACCTCCCCTTTCAGTCATGTATCTCCAGCCAACATTGTTAGTTCTCCTTCAGTGATTTGATGATGACCCACTTAAATACTTAGCATTTATGTTATATCTCTTTCTTATATTCAATGTCTGAGTATGCTCAATGCTCACTTAATGTATAGTCAGTAATGAACCTTGCCTCATACTCACAGATAATCCTTGAGTGATTACTCAATGACCTCAAAAGCATAAAGTCTTACATGTAATCAATGTAACTTCATGAAATGTTGAATATGTATTTGAAGATAAACATAGGAAAAACTAAAGCAGTTTCAGAAGATCTCTCATCCGTTAGAATGAGCACTAATCAAACAAGAAGCCCCAACAAGGAGTAAAGACATTCTTCAGTGTTTCTCCTCTAGCTGAACATGACTTGTGAATATCAAATCATTTATCTTATTCTCTTGTGCAAAAGTCAAACCCATGCAGCTTGGGACAAAAGGTATAGTATGATTTATGCTTTATTGTCCCTTTTCATGCATGACAACTATCTTGGTAAAATACTTCATATGTAGCCAAATCGGGTCAGCTCAAAGGACATCAGGACCTGCAAACCTCTCCCTAAGTGACATGTGTTATCTATGCACATCGTTCATTAAATGCTCCCTAAATAAATATTTGAGAAGGCCTCTCTTCTCAAATTTGCCTTCGAGAGGGTTTATATTTCCTCTTCTATGTATTCTAGCAAGATACATTCTATGTGAACATTTTTTGGAGATTCTTAGTGCTTTTCTTTGCGCAAAATAAGATTGTTTTAGATTAGGGTTTCTACCTTCTTATTCCGCAAACAGTATGTAAATTCATATGTATTGATTGTCCTCATAATAAATAAAAGAATTTAAAAAGTATAAGTTTGTGTTTATGTTCAATCCCCTTCTAAAACTTCAACAACATTGTTTACTCCTTTGGCACCAACAAGTGGTATCACAACAATGTTCTATTCTTTCTTTTCTTTTATCTTGATCCTACAATGACTGCAAAGAACTAACAAAACAATGGCTCTCTTGCCAAACTCTCCTAGATTTAATACAAACTTCAACAACATTGTTTACTCCTTTGGTACCAACAAGTGGTATCACAACAGTGTTCTCTTCTTTCTTTTCTTTTATCTTGATCCTACAATGGCTCTCTTGCCAAACTCTCCTAGATTTAGTAGAGATAACATTTCTCTCTGGGAGAACCAAATGTCTCTTTTCCTTGAAGGTGTGGATCCTAAACATCCACAATACAACAAGAATGGACCCTTTGTTCCATTCATAACTAATGATGTTGTCCCTGTCACTGGAACTCATCCTGCAATACCCGAATGCGTGGTGGACGAGCAGGTACATCAATAGTCAGACGAAGATATAAGGAAGGTGGCCATTGATTCTAAAGTAAGGACTGTCATCGCCATGGCATTCCCCGACAAAGTATCCCAGTCTGTCATGAAACTAAAGACATCAAAAGAAATGTGGGATGCTCTCTATATGCAGTATGAAGCTACTCTAAGATCCAAGAATCCAGGAAAATTAAGTTAATAAGACAATATAAAGTGTTTATCTATGGAAAGAATGAATCTTTGTCTGAGGTACATCAACACTTTAATTATCTCATTATTGACCTCAAAACAGTTGGAAGAGAATATTCCAACTCAAAGGTTCTGATCAAATTCCTTGAGTGTCTTGCATAATCTTGGGAACCATGTGTTTGAAGACCTTTACAGATCTTAAGGCCGTGACTCTAGGTGATTGCTTCGGCACCTTACTGATCATGAGTAATCGAAGGCTCTGAATAAAAATCATAAGTGATACCAAGAGCACTCCTCTAGCTCTACTCTCTTTAGACAACAAACCTTCTACTGAACATCTTCCTCTCACTATCTTTGAATCTAGTCATCAACTATCTGCACCTGATGAGATATCTGATCTTGATCTCTCAGAGTGACTTTCTGGCTCTTATCACTAAATCTTTTAGAAGTTTCTCTAGAAAGAATAACTTCTGTTGAAACACAAGTTATTCTCTCCCCAACAAGTCAAGATCAACCCATGTTGATAAGGATACTACTATGTGCCATAACTGTGAGTGAAAAAGACATTTCGCCAATAAGTATAGGTATAAGAAAGTCATTATACTCTCCTCCAAAAAACCCAAGGATGACAAGTACTATAAGCTGAAAGAAAAATACCACAAAGCCAAATCTCAGCAAAGGACTTAT